CGAGCAGAAACGAGCGGCTTTCAGAGTTTTCAAGAGCATCGAGGATGTAGTGAAGAGAACAAAGAATACCCGACTCCGTGCCCACGTTTTCGACTCAACGGCACTTCTTGGGTTAACGTATGCGTCAAAAACCTGGTCGCTGCGTGAACAGGATGAAAAGTCGCTGTTATTTTATTCTATCATTTTTTTATTATTCAACGTTATTGAACGCGCAGTCGAAAGGACGATGATAGGAGTATCCCGTGCCCCGCAAACAAGGGAAGGAATCCGAAGCTCCGACCTGCGTCAACGATCAAAAATCAAAGATGCCGCTCTGTACACCAAACAGTCGAAGAGGCGAGCCAGACACGTAATGAGTATGAATGACAACCGATACACAAAGAAAAAAAAAAGATATGATGCTTGACGAGAACCCACTGAACTACTACTGCACGCGACTGGGAAAAATAGACGATTTACTGGCGCCCACTCGGGTCATTCGACCATCAACGGAACTACAGGTGATCGTCGTATCGACTCATTCACTCTTTACGCATTCTTCTTCAGTTGTCCTCCTAGAGCTTACCTCAACTTCTAGTCAATGCAACACAGTTTAACAAAATCCTGTCAAGAACTAACATTAAATCTCGTCATTTTTTATTCACTACCTATTCTTTTTTAATGCCTGGGTATTATGTGAAATAAAACTATAGTGATGGTGAGATATGCGCAAAACTCCGGACCGCTGGCGCCTGTGGTTTGGGACCGAACATGCTGTCACCGTTGCCGGTGGCTGACTCGTTTCACCACTACACCATGCGAGTCTTTCGTTTCGTCTTCTTCTCTACAGTGTAAATGACCTACAGTTGCTGTCAGCATTCACCTGTCAATCACATTAACGATAAGTCATCTCAAACCCTTAAAGAACTTCAATAAAATTAGGAGCTTTTTCTACGCAAGACTCGTTCCCTAAAAGTCGACTATCGTTTAATAAATCGACTCCAATAAACCAAAGGTGGAAGAAGGGATTGGATAGCACAGCTTATAACAGCGATAGCCGGCATTAGCAAAGAAGCGGCTGAGTATTTATATGTGAATCAACCATTTAGTCTTTTATCTGAGGGATAACACCATTTTAAAAAGTTGGTAGCTGGTTTCACTGACAACATTTTAGTGCTGTCTGTCATCTAGTTTTTATGTTTAGTTGAGCTGTCAACTGAACGTTTTGCGTCACTGATATTATTATGGGTCGAAAGCTCATCATAGGTTTCGACGACATTTTCGCTGATCTACAACGGCACTATTACCGGTGATATAATAGGATTCAACATGGCATTAAGATCTCACCAACATTTTTCGAGACCACTACCACGGATGTCATGCAAAAACTGGAAAAGAAAAGCTTGGGAGCAGAGAGCGATGCTCGAAAGCTACACCATATTCGCGTGGCTGATGACATTGTTCCTATAAGATCAAGATTAGCCAGGCGAAATAAGCGCTTTCCGGTTACGACACGACTGTTGGAAGATTATTCTTGAATTGGGTAACTAGAAAGCGATACTCATAGAAAACCGCTTGCTGTTGATGTTTTATTCATATTCAGCTTATCAGAACGAAAATCTGTAAATGCGGCCGATAGACACGTGTCTTTGTCTAGGAGTCAAAATGATAAGTGGTTTAGCACTCCAGCTTAGCAACAGAAAATGATCAGCTTAAAATTTACAAGAACATCGATAATTTAGTGAGCAAAACAATGAAGAACAGACTACGAGCTCACCTTTTGGCCTCAATGATTTCTTCTGTACGACCCCATACCTTTGTAGTCTGGACGTTGTATAAGTAGGACTGAAGATCGCTCACATCAAAGACCGGGCTATCGAGTGATAATGCAGGGTAGTTAGCAACGCCTTGGCCTGGTCATCTCAAGATTACAATGAGAACAACTCGAAAGACCGACTTTCTATAAACCTCGGCATTGATCAAGTGATTTTCTTCGTATTTTTGTTGAGCAAACGCGAGGTGTTACTATTCTTTGTTCACGATTAA